CATGTAGAAGGCAGCCAATCCATGTTTCTATCTCTCTCTCCCTTCCTCTCTCTCAAAAGTCAGTCCATCAATAAAAATTTTTTTAAAAAAGAGAGAGCCGTCAACTCCACGGGCGACACCTGGTCTCCACCTGGCGCTGCTGTGGGGGTGGGGGTGGGGTAAGGAGTGGGGGTGGGTGAGACTCCCGTCCCAGGACCCCGTCTCCTTTTCCTTGCAGGAATGCTCCAATAAACCCTTCTTTTACAGAGCCTTTCAGCCCTGGACGTTACGTTCTCTGTTTTACAGGAGGCTGGAGAGTCCGTTCTGGGCGTTCTTGGGCCCAGAGGGATGGCGGCCATCTGATCGGTGGGGAGGGGGAGGGCAGAGCTGGAGGCCGGGAACTGCACAGCAGCTCTGGTCCTGCCGGAGCCTGCAGAGACCTGAGGAGCCTGCAGAGACCTGAGCGCCCGCCTGTCAGCACAGGCCGCCCGCGTGAGCGGGCCCTGGGGGCCTCCGAGGGCCTCCGCTGTGCACAGGAGGCGCTGCCCAGACGTTTCTTCGGGGTCTGTCGTCGGCTGCAAAACGACACCAGAATGTTACCAGCGACTGGACCTCGGTTCAGCAACCTCGGTGCTTGAGTCCTGGCTCAGAAAGAATTCAGAGACAATACTCAAACTATAAGAGAAAGTTTGTTTAGCAAGTCACAGAGGCCCTGGCCAGTTTGGCTCAGCGGTTAGAGCGTCGGCCTGCGGTCCGGAGAGACCCGGGTTCGGTTCCCGCTAAGGGCATGTACCTCGGTTGCAGTTTGTCCCCGGCCCTGGTTGGGCCCTGTGGGTGGCAACCACTCGATGTGTCCCTTTCACGTGGACGTTTCTCTCTCTCTCTCCCTCCCACTCTATCTGAATAAAATATCAAAAAGTGTCCTCGGGTGAGGACTAAAAAAAAAAAGAAAGTCACAGAGGTAGAAGAAGTGAATCATAGAAAAAATGGGCTCAGGAAACAAGTTACAGAAGCAAAAGACGGGCCCCTGAAGCTTAGGAGGCAAGGAGACCACGCCTGGGGAAGGGGGTGGGGAACCCCGGGGCCGCTCCACGGGAGGTCCCAGGCCCCAGGCAGGATCTCCATGGAATATCCTTGGGGCCATGGCCTTCACTGATTGGTCGGCGCCAGGGCAGGGGCATTACTCACGGCAGCCTGTCCCTGGCTGTTGGTTCCTCTGGTTTTGCTGCTCTTTAGGGCCTGGAGCTAAAATGCAACTGAGGCCTACATGGTTTTTTTTGTTTGTGGTTTGTTTTTTTTCTTTTGTTTTTTTTTGTTTTTTTTTTTTTTAATCCTCATCCGAGGACATTTTTCCATTTTTTGTACAGACAGAGTGGGAGGGAGAGAGAGGAAGAGAGAGAGAGGGAAACATCGATGCGAAAGGGACACATCGAGTGGCTGCCACCCACACAACCAACCAGGGTCGGGGACAAACTGCAACCGAGGTACATGCCCTTAGCGGGAACCGAACCCGGGTCTCTCCGGACCACAGGCGGACGCTCTAACCGCTGAGCCAAACGGGCCAGGGCTGTTTTTTTTCTTTTGGTACATGCCCCTTGTGGGAACCAAACCCGGGACTCTCTGGTCCACAGGCTGACTCTCCAACCGCTGAGCCAGACCAGCCAGGGCAAAGGAAGGTTTTTTTTGTTTTTTTTTAATTCTCACCCGAGAACATTTTTCCATTTTTTGTTCAGATAGAGTGGGAGGGAGAGAGAGAGAGAAACATAGACGTGAAAGGGACACATCAATGCGAAAGGACACATCGAGTGGCTGCCACCTGTATGACCCAACCAGGGCCGGGGACAAACTGCAACTGAGTTACATGCCCTTAGCGGAAACTGAACCCGGGTCTCTCTGGACCGTAGGCCAACGCTCTAACCGCTGAGCTAAACCAGCCAGGGCATGTTTTTGTTTTTGTTTTGTTTTTCATTATTGATTTTAGAGAGAGAAAGGGAGAGGGCGAGAGAGATAGAAACATCGATGAGAGAGAATATCAGAGAACATCGATTGGCTGCCTTCTGCATGCCTACCACGGGGAATCGGGCCCACGGGCCCACACTCAACCACTGAGCCACACTGGCGGGCAAGGCCTACATGTTATCCCCAGGGTTAATGCTTAAGGAAGAGATGCACTTCCATGAAAATAAAGCTTTTCGCCCTGGCCGGTCTGGCTCAGCGGTTAGAGTGTCGGCCTGCAGTCCAGAGAGACCCGGGTTCGATTCCCGCTAAGGGCACATACCTTGGTTGCAGTTTGTCCCCGGCCTTGGCTGGGTCGTGTGGGAGGCTGCCACTTGATGTGTCCCTTTCACGTCGATGTTTCTCTCTCTCTCTCTCTTCCTCTCTCTCCCACGCTATCTGAACAAAAAATGGAAAAATGTCCTTGGGTGAGGATAAAAAAAAAAAAGAAAAAGAAAATAAAGCTTTCTACCACACCTCATCCTCCGTGGGCGCCCCCTGAAATGCTCATTCCAGCAGCACCCCAAGAACCCCACCCCATGCTTTTTTCCCATTCCAGCACTAACCCTGACAAGCTCAGGGGAGGCCCGCATGGTGGCCTGACAAACCCAGAGACAGAAAGTTACCACACAGGGTGGTCTGAAATGAAAACTAACTAAAAGGTTCGTGGGCAGTCATGTCCTAGGGTGGAATCTTCCCTGCAAAGGCCAGTCCTCACCTGACCGAGCCTGGCGGTTGGCTTTTTGCATCTAGGATCACATAACTAATAAACTGGCCTTTGCAAAAACAAAGTAATTCCCCCTGTTGTAGACCAACGAGACAGACCAGACTCCGACTCCGAACTGGGTTCAAATGAAGAGAGCTTTACTAGCCGCTCGGCGGCTGTCCCATCCTACGCAGAGGAGAGAGCAGCCCCGGGCTCAGGGGGAGGGGTGCTTATATAGTTGTCTTAGCCCCTGTTAAGGAATTTGGATTAAGGGTATGCGAGCAACCATGTACAGAAGCAGGTATGTGCAGTTCGCTGTTATGCCTGAGGGAACAATCAGTTTCTGTGTACACAAAGCAGTGGTTATCTATACAATGCAGTGGTTATCTATACAATGCAGTGGTTATCTGTACAATGCAGTGGTTATCTGTACAATGCAGTGGTTATCTATACAATGTTGTGGTTATCTATACAATGTAGTGGTTATCTGTACAATGCAGTGGTTATCTGTACAATGCAGTGGTTATCTATACAATGTAGTGGTTATCTATACAATGCAGTGGTTATCTGTACAATGCAGTGGTTATCTGTACAATGCAGTGGTTATCTATACAATGTAGTGGTTATCTATACAATGCAGTGGTTATCTACACAATGCAGTGGTTATCTATACAATGCAGTGGTTATCTGTACAATGCAGTGGTTATCTGTACAATGCAGTGGTTATCTACACAATGCAGTGGTTATCTACACAATGCAGTGGTTATCTACACAATGCAGTGGTTATCTACACAATGCAGTGGTTATCTACACAATGCAGTGGTTATCTATACAATGCAGTGGTTATCTGTACAATGCAGTGGTTATCTGTACAATGCAGTGGTTATCTGTACAATGCAGTGGTTATCTGTACAATGCAGTGGTTATCTGTACAATGCAGTGGTTATCTGTACAATGCAGTGGTTATCTGTACAATGCAGTGATTATCTATACAATGCAGTGGTTATCTATACAATGTAGTGGTTATCTGTACAATGCAGTGGTTATCTGTACAATGCAGTGATTATCTATACAATGCAGTGGTTATCTATACAATGTAGTGGTTATCTATAATTAGCAGAAAGTTCTTGCCATTCCCTTAAAATCCAGGGGGCAAGGTCATGTGTTTGTCCTTTACACCCCCACCCCCCCCACCTCAAAGCACAACCACTGCTCTCTGGGTGACTTCCCATCTTGCCCCCGTTGTCCCTTGGCTGTCAGTCTCCACTCACCACAGCCCCTGGCGGTGGTCCTTGTGCCCACCGCGAAGCCCTCCTCGCGTTAACAGGTGTCACTTGGTGTTTCCAACACTGGTTCCAGGGAGGACAGGCTCCTGAGAATAAAGGATGGGAACAGGGAAGAACTTGCAGGGCCTGCGTGTGCATGGCGGGGGGAGGGGGGCTGCCCCTCTGCAGAGCCCCAGGTCCTTCCTGGGGGCGGCACAGCTCGGTGCCTGTGGAAACTGGGCCTCGGGCAGCAGCCTCTGCAGCTGGTGCTTGGTGCTCACTGGAGCTCAGCTCTCCTCTGGCTCCAGGCCTTCCGGACCTCCCCTCCCAGGGGTGGTGGCCTCAAGCACTCAGAAGGAATGAAAAGATTCAAGATCTAGTGCCTGTGACCTGATCACCTCCTCCCGCCACCCCTGCCCTTGCCCTCCTCCTTCCTCTCTTTCCCCCCAAACCCCCCGCCCACCCCCACCGAGGCCCTTGAGCGGGGTCCTCTCCCAGGTTCCTGCTCTGGGTCAGGTCCAGCCCTTAGTTTCATCTCTGACTGTCCAAATGCCACCTGCTCTCCAGCTCCAGTGATCTCTCCTCCCCTCCCTCCCTCCTCACCCTGCAGGCCTCCGCCTTTCTCCAACACCAGACCACTTCCCGCCACACCTGAGGGAAGGGCCCTCTCTGCCTCACGTCTGTGGTCCCCGTATCCCCACGGTGAGAACCAGGCTACCTCACATGGGTCTGTCACAGAAAGACGGAGGCAGCAGAGCTGAGCTGGGGCCAAGGCTCGGCTGGGAGGGTCCTGGGACATGCAGTCATCCTGGGGACCCTCTCTAGAGCAGGAACTGCTGAGGAGGGCGGGGCAGGCCCCACATCCTGCCCCTCCTGAGCTGACTCTCTTCAAAGCCCCCCTCCCTGTAGCCAGAGGATGGGGGGCTGGGAGGAGGGATGACCTGGTCCAGGGGTGTGAGACCCAGGGAGGGGAGGTGCGGCTGGGGGAGGTGGGGGCTCGGGATGAAGTCTTCTCTTCTCCACCCCTCCACCCTCAGGCTGAGTCCCCCGGTGCCATGGAAGGGTGGGTTCTAGTCCTGTGGGCTCTGCTGCTGGGCCAGGGAACAGTCCTGGTCCCGCACGGCCCCGAGGCTGCCCTGCAGGGCTTTGCTGGAGGCAAAGCACAGACAGGTAAGGGCGGCTGGGCGGGCCAGTCGTGGGGGGTCTGGGGGCTCCAGGCTTGGCACTTGGACGCATCTCAGCGGCTCCTTTCACCGGTGCTCTGTGTGCTTGGGCGGGGTGCAGTCCTGTTCCAGCGGGGCGGGGGCTGCCCCACAGGTGTGAACCTGACCTGCTTCCGATGCTTCAAAGTCACCAAGGCAGAGCAGTGCACGCCCACCGTGTGCTCCTCCGGGGACCAGGTCTGCGTCTCTCACACGGTGATGTTCCTTCTCGGTGAGTCCAGGAGCCTGGGGGGGCCGTGCGCGGCCTCTGCCGGGACTTTCGCTGGATCCTGGGGCTCTGTGCAGGGCCGGGGGCGGAGGGGCGCAGCACCTCGAACGCTCTCCCACACGGATTCTGAACTCGGTCTATGCTTCTCCTCCTGCCTCTGAAGAACCAGTTACTAAATGTCCCTCCCAGGAGCTGTCATCAGGACAAGCTCCGGGGTAACTGAATTCAGCCGAGAGCAGGGCTCGCGGGAAGAGGCTTGGCCTTGGGAGCAGGGCAGCAGGGACGCTGTACCCAGGACCTGCCGCCCACCTGCTGCTCGCCAGGCCACACACCCACCCCAGGGGCTGACTGTGGGGCTCACCGGACAGGAGTCCACTTCAAAAACAAGCCAGTTTGGCTCAGCGGTTAGAGCATCGGCCCGTAGACCAAAAAGAGTTGCGGGTTCGATTCTGGTCAAGGGCAAGTACCTTGGTTGTGGTTTGGTCCTGGCCCTGATCAGATTGTGCGGGAGGCAGCCAATCGATGTGTCTCTCTCACATCGATGCGCTTTCTCTCTCGCTCTCTCTCTCTCCCCTTCCCTCCCTCCCACTCTATCTGAAGATAAATGGAAAAATATCTTCAAGTGAGGATTTAAAAAAAACAAGCCTTCCAGGAGATTATAAACGGACCCCATCATGTCCCCAAGCCCACTGAAATGTCACCAGCAAACCCCTAGAAGTGTACAAATGGCCAGAGACAGTGGGAAGTGGACAGACCATCTGTTCCCCAGGACCTGTGCTAAGTGTACAAATGGCCAGAGACAGTGGGAAGTGGACAGACCATCTGTTCCCCAGGACCTGTGCTTGTGGTCTGCTGGTGACATGTTCCAGGTCCCTGGGGACCTACCAGCAACTGCAGAGCAGCCTCCTCCCCGTGGCTTCAAGTCATAGGCATCATTCTTTTTTTTTTTTTTTTCTTCTCTTTTTAAAAATCGATATGAGAGAGAGAGGAAGGGAGAGAGAGAGAAACATCCACCACTGCTTCCTGTGCACCTTCTACTGGGAAGTGAGCCCAAAACCTGGGCATGTGCCCTGACGGAGAATCCAAACAGGAGCCTCTTGGTGCGTAGGAGGGCGCTCAAACCCCTGAGTCACACCAGCTGAGCTCTGCAACGTCCTTTTGTATGTATGTGTGGTATGTGCCCCCGGGGGGACCAAACCAGGGCTCTGGTCCGCAGGCTGACGCTCAACCGCTGAGCCAAACTGGCCAGGGCTCTGCAAGGTCCTTGAAGGAGCAGTGGGGAGACCCCAGCCCGGCCGGAGCGCACAGCTAGGTCTCCATGGTCACCATCTCTGTCCTCTGCTTCTCCCTGGGAGCTGGCCGGTTTCAGGGACGAGCCCCCAGCAGGGCCAGCAGTCCTGGACCCCATCTTTGTTGTGACCTTGTAGGTGACCTTGGGCAGCCTAGTTCCTGCAGGACGTGGCCTGTAAAAGGGTCAGAAGGAGGGGCCGGTAGCGCCGGTAAACTCGTCTCTGGACAGCGCCCCCTGCTTGCTCTCTTCTGCAGGATCAGGGGTGTATGTTTTGCTCAGCAAGCGCTGCGCCCCCTGGTGCCCCAACACCAACATGATCCATGAGTGGCCGTCGCCCCACAAGGTGCTCAGGAGGATCGTCAGGCAGTGCTGCGCCAGGAGTCTCTGCAACGCGGCGCCCCCCACCCTGGGGGTTCCCTGGGCCCTGCTAGCGGTGCTGATGTTCCCATGGGGCCTCAGCCTCCTCGGGGCCCTGCTGTGAGCTCCTTCCCTGCAGACCTGCAGGCCTACCCTGTCCTCCCACCACAGTCTGTCCTGCCTCTTCCCTCTCGGCCACACTGGGTGGGACATTCACCTCTGGGGTGGTGGGCCAGGTCACCTCTCCCATCCCCGGCAAGGGCCCTCTACCCACACAGCCTGGAGAATTTAGCCCTGGTTCCTGGGAGAAGAAGGAATCATCCCTAGTTTAGGGTAAGGGATCCCTGTCCTGAACGGACTGTCCAGGGCCAGTGAGGGGGCAGGAGTAGCCTGGGCAAGGCCAGGTGGTGGCTCCAGCCCTGGCCCTGGCTCCAACTTGCTTTGTCTCCTTGGCCAGCCCCTCACCAGTCCCGTCCACATCTGTCCAAGGGGCCCAGGCAGATTCATGCTGTGGGTGCCACCTGTGCGCTGGGACCACGACCTTCAGTCCGTCCAGAGACAATAAACATGTTGTTCAACCACACTCTCCAGCTCCTCCACTGCTTCCATCCCCGTGCCCAGACCACATCCCTCTGGCCAGGTCCCTTGTGTCACGTGCAGCCCGTGCTTGGATCTCGGTCACATCTGGACAAACGCATTCAGCAGAGCGTGGGGACAGACCCTGCGTTCCGGGCCCAGCTCAGGGTAAACAGGAGTCACAGGCTCAGGTTCAGGTCTTCAGAAGGTCTAGCTAGCCTGTGCATGGCGGGGGTCGGTGGGGCGTATCTGGAGCCGTGGGATCCAGAGATGCTGGAAGGGAACTGGGGGGGCAGGGAAACCCATATTTGGTGGGCAGTTGGTGGGCAGCTGGTTGGAGACAGTGGGGGCTGATGGAAGGGATGGAGGTGCCAATGATGGATTGTGCCTGGCCTGGGAGGACCCCCCTGGTGAGCGATACAGGTGAGGACCAGGTTGGGACAGGTAAAGTCAAAGACCAGCTGCAGGCTGTCCAGGCTGAGCTGGGTTCCTCATAGGACATCCTGGAGGACAGGTGATAGAGGACAGGTGGAGAACAGGGCCCTCAGCATAGGCTTCAAGGTACTGAGTGGGCCACTGGGTGCCTGAACACTGCAAAGCCTCTGAAAACTGAACTGACTAAAAACCACAACCCACAGAAGGTGAATCTGCACTTTCATCATTAACCCAACCATTCTCCACAAGATGGAAGTGAAATTTGGTGTCTCAGAACATAATTTTCAAAATACCTGGGACAGAAACCAAAGTTACTCTGTACACAGAAGATTAGGGGTAAACACACACACGCACACAACTGTAGATTCAAGAATGAATACTTGCCCTGGCCGGTTTGGTTCAGCAGTTAGAGCGTCGGCCTGCGGTCCTGAGAGACCCGAGTTCGGTTCCCGCTAAGGGCACGTACCTCGGTTGCAGTTTGTCCCTGGCCCTGGTCAGTTGTGCGGGTGGCAGCCACTCGATGTGTTCCTTTCACGTCGATGTTTCTCTCTCTCTCTCTGTTCCTCTCTCTCCCTCCCACTCTACCTGAACAAAAAAAAAAAAGAATGAATACTGGACAGGAAAATCCAAACAAATACACACTCAGACATATCATAATCAAACTGCTTAAATACATTGATGTCACAAGTCAGGATTCTCAGTGTGGGAGAAAGGAGATAAAAAAATATGGAAGGGGACCATTGAGATCCTCTCCTAAGACCTCCCCTAAACTCCCAGACTTGAAAACCCTCAAGACGGAAGGACCCAGCCCTCCCAGGACCATGCCCCTGCCCTGCCCTTCCCCCTCTTCCTCCCTGAACGGCATGCATCTCCTAAACTCTATGGGTCCCCATGAGACTTGCAACCAGGGGAGCAGCAGACAGTGCCTACTCATCCCAAGCTAACCCCCAACCTGTGTCCAAGACCCCCCTTTTCTCTGACATTCCAGTGAGCTGACAGTGGCCTACGTGGCCCACCTCTGTGGCCCACCGTGACTTTTCCTTCTCATCGAGCCACGGCAGCCTGCCTGAGCTGGCTCTTCTTGCTTCCTCTGTCCTGAGCCCTTCCTTGTTTCCCTGTCCCCAGCTTTAATAAACATTCTCTCAACGTAAAATAAGAAAACACGGAAGGGGAAGGAATTGCGGGGTATGACAGGGAATGGAAAGAGGTAAGGGTATGGACACATACGCTCTGAAAGAAGCCCCCGACAGCAACAAGCACGCGTTGGCCCAGATCTTGGTTTTTAAATACTATAAAATAACATTTCCTTCTCAACAGAATCTGAACTCTTTAAAAAAAAAAAAAATAGCTACTCCCAAGGTAGGAGAAATAGAGTAAAATGCATTAGGACTCCAACTATTCAATGTAAAAATAAAGATGGAAATACATAATCACCATTTGGCAAACATCCACAGTAAATCGTTTTAGGAAAGAATCATCCTAGATAAGAAATATGCGTGTAGACCAGTGATGTGAAATAGGGGATTTACATAATCTCAAAGTGCCTCTCAGGAGACACGTATTAAACACAACAGGACAAAGGATAACTTTCCAGAGGAAAGTTCTGGCAGATGCCACTGTAACCAAGTGATCCAAGTCAACACCACGAGGGTGGGGACAAGTCAGCATCACCTGTCCTGAAGAGGTGTGCTCAGGACACATCCGCATTCAGGTGATATTCTTGCCAAAATACTCAAGCTGAATGGAATCAGGAGTAAACAGCAAGCCCAAATGATAAGACTTTCTACAAAATAGTTGGCCATTACTCTTCAAAAGTGTAAAGGTCTATCCATCAATAGATGAGTGGATAAAAAAAAAAAGCTGTGGCACATATATACAATGGAAGACTATGCAGCTGTAAGAAAGAAAGATCTCTTATCCTTTGAGATGACCTGGAGGGACCTAGAAAGTATTATGCTAAGCAAAACAAGCCAATCAGAGAAAGACAAATACCACATGATCTCACTTATTTGTGGAATATAATGAACAAGGTGGGCTGATGAACAAAATAGATCCAGAGACATAGAAAGGAGTACGGATGGTTCAGACTGACAAACCTTTGAGGAGGGGGGCAGGAGGAATGGATGAGATGAACCAAAGAACTTACATGCATGTAGGCATAACCAATGGACATAGACAACAATACTAGGGGGGTGGGGGTGGGGGAGGAGGGGGCCTGGGGGTAAAAAGAGAAACATCTGTAATAAAAATAAATTAATAGAAAACAATACTAGGGGGGTGGGGGGTGGGGGAGGAGGGGGTCTAAAAAGAGAAACATCTGTAATAAAAATAAATTAATAGAAAACAATACTAGGGGGGTGGGGGGTGGGGGAGGAGGGGGTCTGGGGGAAAAAAAGAGAAACATCTGTAATAAAAATAAATTAATAAAAATTGAAGGAGAAAAAGTGTAAAGGTCATGAAAAGTCAAGACAGACCACCTGCCCCGATGGAAGGAGGTGTGGAAGGAACAATAAGCACGTGGTCCTAGATAGGACGGTGGACTGCGGACGGGCGCGGCAGGGACCGCTGGGGAGATCAGAAGATCGGCAGGTTAGATCCATGCTGTGCCAGCGTTAACTTGGTGACTGCGACCCCTGTACTGTAGGCACGTCTGGTGTTAAAATCTGGGAAATCTGTGCCAAGGAGCTTCCACGGAACAACTCCTGCACTTGTTGGCTCCCTTTTTAAAGATTTGAAATTATTTCCAAATGAAAAGTTGAGACCATGAGTCTCTGAACAGAAGGTCTTTATTCTTCTGTCATATAAGTTTAGAAAGATATGTTTTGTACCACCCTTCACTGCATCCCAATTATTTCAAGCAGTGGTACTTTTTACCTGTTCTAGGTATTTTTTGGTTTGTTTTTTTGTTAATCCTCATTGATGGGCCACCTCCTACAAGCCTCCCCCCCTCCCCCCCCGGGGGAACAGGCCCACAACCTGGGCATGTGCTTTGATGGGGAATCGAACTGGGACCTCTCAGTCCGTGGGATGACTCTCAATCCATTGAACCGGCTGGACTAAGATACTGTATTTATTTATTTATTTATTTTTCTATATTGATTTGAGAGAGAGAGAAAGGGACACCTGTCTGGTGTTGCTCAGTGGTTGAGCGTCAACACATGAACCAAGAGGTTGCCAGTTTGATTCCGGGTCAGGGCACAGACCCCCAAGTCCCCACTGGGGGGCATGCAGAAGGCAGCCAATCGATGTTCTCTCTCATCGATGTTTCTATATCTCTCCTTTTCCCTTCCTCTCTCTCTAAAAATCAATAAAGAAAAAAATTAAAAAGAGAGAGCCCTGGCGGGTTTGGCTCAGCGGTTAGAGTGTCAGCCTGTGGACCAGAGTCCTGGGTTCAGTTCCCACTAAGGTTGCAGTTTGTCCCTAGCTCTGGTTGGGGTTGTGCGGGTGGCAACCACTCGATGTGTCTCTCTCACATCAATGTTTCTCTCTCTCCCTCCCACTCTATCTGAAGATAAATGCAAAAATGTCCTCAGGTGAGGATAAAAAAAAAGAGAGAGAGAGAGAGAGAGAAAAAGGGAAACATCGATGAGAGAGAACATCAATTGGCCTCCTCCTGCATGCCCCCCACTGGGGATTGGGTCCACAACCTGGGCATGTGCCCTGCCCGGGAATCGAACCAACGAACTCTTGGTGTAGGGATCAATGCTCAACCACTGAGCCACACCGGCCAGGTTAAGATATTCTCTTTTTAAAGACTGTGTTCAGCGGTTAGAGCATCGGCCTGCGGTCCGGAGAGACCTGGGTTCGGTTCCCGCTAAGGGCACGTACTTTGGTTGCAGTTTGTCCCCGGCCCTGGTTGGTCGTGCGGGTGGCAGCCACTCGATGTGTCCCTTTCACAACGACGTTTCTCTCTCTCTCTCCCTCCTGCTCTATCTGAACAGAGAATGCAAAAGTGTCCTCAGGTGAGGATAAAAAAATAAAAAATGTTTTACATGTGAAAAATTGTATTCATCTTTTCTTGTATTGACTTCTAACTTAATTGTATCTAAGTCAGAGTATGATCCTGAGATATGAGATAAAGAAGACTTTTGAGCAGCGATAAAATCTGGACAC